AACAGTTTTTGTTCAATCTAGCAATCATATTTCGGTAGGGGCCATCGAAACCTAAACTCTAAGGTGGGCCAATAGATGTGTCCAGAAGTGTATATAAGGAATTTTAGTTTTTTACTTAGATGGCTTAGACTTATTTTTTTTATATTGTATGTATATACTAGCTGACCCAGCGAACTTCGTACCGCCATAAAAAAAATTAATTAAAAAAACATTGTCCAGCGGACAAAATTGTGAATCTAAACCATTCTCAGATCCCCTTGAACACACACAAAAAATTTCATCAAAATCGGTCCAGTCGTTTAAGAGAAGTTCAGTGACATACACACTCACAGAAGAATTATATATATAAAGATGGATAAAACACGTTTCTCCCTTTTTAGTCGGTTTATACCATGAAATTATATATTTACGGTATTTTTTTTGTGCCGTGATAATCCTGACCTAACATAGCACCTAACTTTTGTAAAAATCTAAAGTATATTAGGTAAGTATGTAGGTAGTTATTTTAGACTTATTAGTTAACTAGATGCCATAACATTACTAATTACATAGATTTCTATGCATGTAAGATTTCTGTAGATAAGTGCCTAAATAAGTATTTAATAAATGACACTTAAAATAAAATAAAACTTTTTATTTATATCACCTTGACTATGCACTTTAGCTGATTCTAGTCAACAGAATTTGTTTTCTAGTCGTGCAATAGAGTTAGCAAATTTATGACAGCACTAAATGGAAATCAGGGCCTTAGCTAGGGAGGGGCATTATGGGGCAATGCCCTACCTTAAAACGGGGCGGCAGGCTGCGAAGGGCGGCCCGCCCCTGCTTACAACTATGGCTACGGCCCTGATAGAAATGGTAAGTATCTACTTACTTTAATTATTTGATCATTAGTTAATTTACCGCCTCGTTGATGTATACAATTTGCCGTTGAAAGCGTTTTGATAACACAGCAGTATGAATAAAATTTGTAGTGTAAGCGTGAGCATTGTCGTGGACTAGGGATAATACATAACACGTATTTATCCGGCTCGAAGAATCATTATATGAACTATGCAGCATGTGTACTTTGATTTTATTGAACTAATTATCAAAAGGAGGAGCTCGATGGCGCAAGTGGCTAGCGCGTTCGGCTGCGATCGTTGAAGTTAAACAACATTCGCATTGGTTGGTCATTGGATGGGTGACCAAATATTTACTATCTTGAGTTCCTCCGTGCTTCGGAAGGCACGTTAAGTCGTTGGTCCCGGCTGCATCTGCAGTCGTTAGCACCCACCAATCCGCACTGGGCCCGCGTGGTGGGTCATGGCCCAAACTCCCTATTCCATCCTTAGGGAAGGCCTGTGCCCCAACAGTGGGGACATTAATAATCTGATGATGATGATGATGAATTATCAAAAGGGTGTCTGATATATTGTTAATCATTGAGATATTCACTCACTGATTAAAGTTATGTGTTAACTTTACAAGGTCTAAGTTCAGAAATCTACACCTTACTCAAAATATGTGGCTTAGCCATTTTGTTACTACAAGAACTATTGTATAACAGAAAAGAAATGAAATAAATTTTTCACCTACCCCATATGAATATGACGAAATGGCCAAGCCTATATACATATTTGAATAAGCTGTAGAATTTGTGAAGTTAGGCCTTGTAGAGTTAGGGCGTATAGTTCGAAGTCTGACTCTACATGAGATCTTATTACTCTTTGACAGTGCGAGTCATAGTACGGTCTCATCTTGGCAACATTTTACATGACAATGTTCTTGTGGAATAATTTGAAATTAATGATATAATACAGGTATAAGACACTTATCATGACTTAAGTTTTAATAAAGATACTTTGATTTAGCCTTTGAGTTGCCACTCAAATTAGTTTAATATTTAAAAGGTATAGCTAACAAATTCATTTTTTATTCAAAGGGTTAAAAAAAATAAAGCCCTTTAACGATTTTCTAGAACGAAACAATAATTGCTCTCACTGCGGGCACTATTTCGGGTACTATTTATTGGCATATAAATTAGACATATAGCTTGTTCTGTTTTCGTGCAGTGAGGTAAGTATGCTAGCGTAGTACCTAGGGGGCGTCCATAAATTACGTGAGATGTTTAAGGGGGGAGGGGGTCGAGTCAAATCTCATCTAATTTTACGTTGGAGAGAGGGGGAGTCTCGGCAAATATCACGCAATTTTTTTTCTGATTGAAACAAAAAAGAATTATACTATTTTGGTCCATTTAATCCAGATTGTACACGCTTAAGATTTAATCTTAAGCGTAATCGTAATACGATTAAGATTATTCACTTATTGGTTCGAAAGAAAACTAGTCGTAAATAAAAGCACGAAGCAATTTTTTTTCTTTTTACAATAACAATCCAACACGTTTACGTTAGAAACCCACAATTTGAAAAATCTCATGTGAGATTGGGGGATGGGGGAGGGGGTTGAATAAAATCTCACGACATCTCACCAAGGGGGAAGGGAGGGACAGAAAATTCAAATAAACACCTCACGTAATTTATGGACGCCCCCCTACAGAAGTATTTAAAAGCAACGGATTTTTTTTTTCATTATTTGGCTCTATTTGGGCACTAATTTTTGACTTATGAATTATAGTTATGGCTTTCATAGATTTCTCACACATCTATAGGTGAATTTGCTGGTATACGTAAATAAATATGTCTCTAACTTTTTAAGTATAAGAGCATATTTTTTTTCATTTGAGCACTATTTGAGTACTATTTCTTGTAATTTTCGAAATACCGGAATTCCATGGTGAGTGTGCTGGGCGTAGGTACACAAAAAGTATATGTGGGTAATTTAATTAAATGTCTCAATAATGACATACTATAGGACGCAGAAGAACGAGCGCAGAGGCGTGCACAAGACATATGCCCGTATGAGATAGTGCCAAGTACCCAGCAAACTGCTGCCATAGGCGAGCAGCCGGAAGAGAAGTCCAAGCTGTCGGGCTACCTCGGAACTTATGGCGTGGATTGTAAACAGGTATACAACCCCTAGCATGAGCACCGCGATATGATATGGCATTTTTTTTATCGACACAACTGTCACACTCCATTGACAGTTTCAAATACACTTCTGGACACATCTATTGGCCCACCTTGTATTTTCAGTTTCGTTTGGTCCTAGCTAAAATTTTATATTAGGTCGAGCAAAAAGTTTTTATGCAGTTTTGAACCTGGCACATTCACAATTTCATTCAATAGTCTTTTTTTGAATTTCGAACACAGAATTTAAAGAAACAAAAGACAATTTGGAGCCTGTTTGTTGATATCAAACAATCGAATACTAAGAAAACTTGGTTTTATTGGTTAACTTGGATTTAATTCTTGAAAAAGTGATTGATATCTTTGGTTTTGCAACAAACATTACTTATTCTTAACATTAAGGTGAGGTTCTATCAATAATCTATGGATACTTCACCTGAAGTCGCCGCCCAAGCTGTGGCACTTATTGGCGTGAGTGCTCAACTTAATTTAAGTCGATCTGCGGTCCGAAATGTTTATCGGAGGAACCTAGAAACTGGCGGCTTTGTTCGTCGCCAAGGAAGGCCACGATCTCGGGTCACAACTGAAAGGCAGGATCGATTCATCGTGACGACCAGCTTGAGAAATCGTCACCTTACCTCCATTGAGATACAAAAACAAATTCGCGACTTCCACTGAGTATCTGTGAGCGCTCGAACTGTTCGGAGAAGGTTAAAAGAACGCGATATGGTACCACATAAGCCAGCTAATGGGCCCAAACTAACGCGAGCCCACCGAAAAGCGCGCCTTCATTTCGCACGCAGTCATTTAAATTGGACACAGCAAGATTGGAGCCGTGTACTCTTTTCTGATGAGTCTAAAATTGTGTTACATAGCAATGATGGAAGGAAGAAGGTCTACCGACGTAAGGGAGAGCGTTTCGCACAATGCTGCTTAGAAGAGAGGGTTGCTTATGGCGGTGGCTCATGGACTGTCTGGGGCGGTATATCCGCGAGCGGCAAAACTCAACTTGAGGTTGTTACAGGACCACGGCTGCCAACATTAAATGCTGAAAGGTACATTCGTGAGTGCTTAGAACCTCACGTGATACCATACGCGGACTATGTGGGCCCAAATTTTCTTTTAATGCATGATAATGCAAGAGCCCATGCGGCCGGCATCGTCAGGGAATATCTTCGGGATGTGAACATCACAGTTATGGACTGGCCAGCCAGAAGCCCAGACATGAACCCCATTGAGCACATGTGGGACGAGCTAAAAAGACGTGTTAGGGCTCGTCAGCCAGTTGCCCAGACGATGCAGGAGTTGAAAACTGCCATAGAAGAGGAATGGGAGATGATCCCTCAAAATTTCATAGAGCGGTTGATAAACTCTATGTCTAATCGTATGAGAGCTGTAGTAGATGCCCATGGAGGCAACACGCGTTATTAAATTAAACCTTTATTTAATAAAACATGTTTTTTATTCAAAAATCAATTGCCTTTAACAAGGCGCATATCCGACTTGTTAGGCGTAGCTCCATGTCGTATGGTATTCTGAATTCAAAATTAAAACAATACGATCGAAAAAGATGGTAAAATGTATCAGGTTTAAAACTGCATCAACAGTTTTTGTTCAATCTAGCAATCATATTTCGGTAGGGGCCATCGAAACCTAAACTCTAAAGTGGGCCAATAGATGTGTCCAGAAGTGTATTATTTGTTCATTACAAAATAGGCACTTGGTACGTACAATTTACCTTACTTTAATTTCCACTTTGTGTTTCTTGTTATTCTTTCATCATAGTAACAAATAAGCATCAGCCTGGCCAAATGGTAAGCAACTCCAACCACGATGACAATGTTTTTCGCGTTACCATACGAATTACCCTTACCTCACACCTTACTCTGCATTACTTTAGCTTTTTCCAATATATTTCGAAATGCTTATAAGGAACGCGTAATCATCTCAAACTAACTAACCTGACACAAATATTCCTGCCCCTTATCACAGATCCCGGAGTATATGAAGTTACCGCCAGACGCGTACGAACACGCGAAGAAGCTGCGTCGTGGCGTTCCGGAAATCTCGCCCGCTGCGGTCCGAATAGCTGATCTCCCTCGTGAACCTCCTCCCTCTGTAGCGACTTGCGTCCATCCCCCGCCAGAGATTACTGGCCCTTGTGACCCCTCTAAGGAAGAAGACGTAACCTTTGCGTGCCCGCACGTCGAGCCCAAATTACCGTGCTGTGACCCCAATGACAGAGATAAATAGCCAAATTGCTAATTTTAGATTTAGTGAAAGAATTAATTTCGCATTCAGGTATTCCCGCTATTGACCTGCTGTTACCTACTTACGGAATGCAAGAAAACGTCTCTTGGGTTTCATTAAAATACTAAATACTTAGTACCTATAGTCGCTTCTAAATAGAAGTAGCTAGTCATTTGAAGGCAGGTACTTCAATTGCAATACGATACAGTTTACAATTTTATTGAAATTGTCGAATTCTGGCACTATGTAAATTGATAGTCACCAAATAGATAAAATGTTCTAAGAACTTAGAGCGGAATATCACAGAACGGAGGAACGTAAGCGTCCTACTTCTATTAGCAGTGTGTTACTTGCCTTACTAATACATAATGTACAAAACACAGATATCGCAATAACGTATCCTTTGCGGGAGAGCCTTTACCTTTTGATTAACTTCTATCCTTCTGTAGAAAAGGAAATTATGTGATGTACTTTACTTACGTAATAATACTTTCTGTTCCATCTATTTATAATACCTACGAGTAGGTAATAATGAATAATACTTACCTAGATCTTTTTATTTAAATTATGAATTAAGGTTTATTTACAAGGACGACCTGTGTCATAATTATTTAAATTGCTTTTGTGCTTTATAATTCAAAATAAATTATAGTGTAATTAATGCAATCGTGTATCATTTGTTTTATAAAACGCAGTATGTATATAAATTTTGTAAGTACCAACTTAATCAATTAAACCCGGAAGATAGTTAACACGTTAGCATTTTTTTTTATATGTGGTGGAGGAGTAATATTTTACACCTCTTATTTGTGTTAGTGGAGTCCAGTACCCCTAGCACGAACCATTATCGAATTCGAATAGTATGCAAACCGAAATGTCAATGTCAAAGGAGATTGGTCAAATTGGCCTAAATGCAAATAAAATATTGACATATACAGTAATTCTTGGCGTAATTTATACTTAATTTTACAGTCATTAGATTTTAACGGCCACCTTTAAATAATATATTAATTTTAAAAAAGGACTTCTATTTTTACCGGTTTGGAAAACATACGAATCATTTCTATTGGCTATGGGTGTAGTAACATTCACAAAGACTGATCGAGGTTGTTTATATAACATCAAAACAAATCTATTTTGTAAAGATTGATAAAATATTTCGATGATATTTTAATTCAAAATGTAGATGATATGTAATATTAAACGCAACATAAAAGTACTTAAGTTGTTTTATTTCATTAATTTACCTTATCAGAATATTTAAGCTATGTCAGGAATATACATATTTCACACATTGATCAGAACTATCATGAACCTACGCAATATATTATTACATTAGAATTACCTTTTACCATTAAAAACCTAATTATTACTAAGAAAATATCCTATTGGTTTTTATAAAATTATGATAACAGTTCCATGTTTCTCATAACATAGGTAAGCAGGTACCAGTTCCTTGACATGCATTTTGTTAGTGTAATTAGTGTTAGACACTTGTCAAATGAAACAAGATTGCTTCTGAAAGTCGCAATGGCATAATCATGATTTTAAAACTTACTCTTGTGCATTAATTTTAAAAACAGGCAATTATCTGTTATTTTACATGCTCTATATACCTGAATCTAATACATAATATCAGTACTTGGCTTGATTGCCCTATTTTCCTATATAAGTTATTTGGTTTTTATTATTCTAATACCTATGTGCCTATTTGCAAACATAACCTCAAAATCATTCAGTGTATATGGTTTATAGAAGTTCTCAGGAGTGGCCGTCAATAATATTCGTTTCTACGGTAATTTATATATAATTTCGAATCTAGGAAACAATTTTTCATGGTTATTGGTTTTTAGGCCAAACATGTATGGAAGCTGAGCAATCTCCTTTTGTATGGAAACTTGAACAGCAGCGGCACAAAGTACGTAACGAGAACTAAAAATCAGTACCTACATATTTGACATTGACATTTCGGACTCGCAAACGATATGAATTCGATATTGGTTCGTGCTAGGGGTACAGTCCTCTTATAGTGCAGTTGGCACCTATGATGTATAGGTATCATAGGTGCCAACTGCCATCTGAATGATGAAAATCAATATGAATATAAGCATTTATTATTTATACACACATCAAAAGTGTCTAGGGATCAAGCATTTTTATGCGGATTTCTTGAGATTGAGATGTGGCTTTGTAATAAATTTATGATTTTATAAATTTATATGGATCCTTTTTGGTGCATTTCATAATTTGAATCAGGAACTGTGAATCAAATTCGAGTAAAAGATGAAAATCAGCTGTCAATATTTTCCCTATAAAAACATACAACGCATTGAAGACATTATTAGTGCTACTGTTTCCCTACTACTGATTAAAACCAACGTTATTATGGAGCGGCGACGTCATTTAAGCAGGGAAGAAATGCTCAGAGCCGTGGGAATGATAGAAGCTGGTTCCCGGCAACGTACTGTAGCTTTAGCTCTGAATACAAGTCAGAGTGTTATCAGTCGACTTTGGACACGATACCGAAGCACTGGTACCGTGGCTGAGCGCCATGGAGGACGGTATCGCTGCACCACACGGAGACAAGACCGATACATTCAAATCTTAACTCGAAGAGCTCCAACAATAACCGCCATGATGTTAGCCGTGAGGCTTCATCACTCTTCAGGGAACTTAATTAGCGACCAAACAGTCAGAAACCGCTTGCATGAAGTGAACCTTCATTCCCGAAGACCGCTACGGGTACCACCTATAGCAATGCACAATCGTAGGATTCGATATCAATGGGCTCTTGAACACAGAAATTGGGCAGAAGAATAATGGCGTTTCGTGTGCTTTTCTGATGAGTCTCGTTTTGGTATGAGACCGGATACAAGACGTATACGACACTGGAGAACCCCTGGACGCCAACAGCGATTAAAATCCTGCCAGGAAGTCCATCCTTATAGTGGTGGAACCATCATGGTATGGGCGGGTATTTGGATCGGCGGAAGAACTGAGTTGATTTGGATCAGAGGCAACCTCAACGCTCAAATTTATGCTGAGACGATTGTATCAGACGTCATCGTTCCTCTACAAGTGCAAATCGGTCCCTTATTTCAGTTAATGCATGATAATGCACGACCGCACACCGCAAGAGTTGTAAGACAGACTCTCGCCGCAGCTAACATCAATGTCCTGCCCTGGCCTGCTCAGTCGCCAGACTTGAACCCGATTGAGCATGCATGGGATATGCTACAGAGAAGAGCTCTGCCGAATATGGAGGGTATCCAGTCGCAAGAAGACCTTTTTTTGTTGTTGCAACGAACATGGGCGGCCATTCCACAGCGTGATTTGGATGAACTCATTTTGAGTATGCCAAACCGATGTTCTTGTGTTGTTAGTGTTCGCGGTAGAAATACGGATTATTAATTGTTTAAGTTACCCAATAAAATTTTAGAGAAAACTGTTATTTCAGTCTTTTTTTCGAACTTTTGTGTTAGTGGTTCAAATGTCAAAAATCCCTTTATTAGGAAAATGGCAAATTTCTTTATTAATGCAAAGGTGACTTGGTTTATCGTTACTGTGACAAACGAAAACACTTTATTTGATGAATCCTTAAAGAAAATTTTAATTAATATCAATCAGGAGAAAAGTTATTGCAAAAATATATGTTGATCCCTAGACACTTTTGATGTGTGTATTATTAATTGCTTTTTATGTTCATTTAATTCATATTATTTAAGTGCTTACATAGAGGTAAACAATAAATCTATTCAGAATATATAAAGTACATACGATGAATTACACTTCTGGACACATCTATTGGCCCACCTTAGAGTTTAGGTTTCGATGGCCCCTACCGAAATATGATTGCTAGATTGAACAAAAACTGTTGATGCAGTTTTAAACCTGATACATTTTACCATCTTTTTCGATCATATTGTTTTAAATTTGAATTCAGAATACCATACGACATGGAGCTACGCCTAACAAGTCGGATATGCGCCTTGTTAAAGGCAATTGATTTTTGAATAAAACACATGTTTTATCAAATAAAGGTTTAATTTAATAACGCGTGTTGCCTCCATGGGCATCTACCACAGCTCTCATACGATTAGGCATAGAGTTTATCAACCGCTCTATGAAATTTTGAGGGATCATCTCCCATTCCTCTTCTATGGCAGTTTTCAACTCCTGCATCGTCTGGGCAACTGGCTGACGAGCCCTAACACGTCTTTTTAGCTCGTCCCACATGTGCTCAATGGGGTTCATGTCTGGGCTTCTGGCTGGCCAGTCCATAACTGTGATGTTCACATCCCGAAGATATTCCCTGACGATGCCGGCCGCATGGGCTCTTGCATTATCATGCATTAAAAGAAAATTTGGGCCCACATAGTCCGCGTATGGTATCACGTGAGGTTCTAAGCACTCACGAATGTACCTTTCAGCATTTAATGTGGGCAGCCGTGGTCCTGTAACAACCCCAAGTTGAGTTTTGCCGCTCGCGGATATACCGCCCCAGACAGTCCATGAGCCACCGCCATAAGCAACCCTCTCTTCTAAGCAGCATTGTGCGAAACGCTCTCCCTTACGTCGGTAGACCTTCTTCCTTCCATCATTGCCATGTAACACAATTTTAGACTCATCAGAAAAGAGTACACGGCTCCAATCTTGCTGTGTCCAATTTAAATGACTGCGTGCGAAATGAAGGCGCGCTTTTCGGTGGGCTCGCGTTAGTTTGGCCCATTAGCTGGCTTATGTGGTACCATATCGCGTTCTTTTAACCTTCTCCGAACAGTTCGAGCGCTCACAGATACTCCGTGGAAGTCGCGAATTTGTTTTTGTATCTCAATGGAGGTAAGGTGACGATTTCTCAAGCTGGTCGTCACGATGAATCGATCCTGCCTTTCAGTTGTGACCCGAGATCGTGGCCTTCCTTGGCGACGAACAAAGCCGCCAGTTTCTAGGTTCCTCCGATAAACATTTCGGACCGCAGATCGTACTTAAATTAAGTTGAGCACTCACGTTTCTTTGGCTGTTTCCGGCCTGAATAAGTGCCACAGCTTGGGCGGCGACTTCAGGTGAAGTATCCATAGATTATTGATAGAACCTCACCTTAATGTTAAGAATAAGTAATGTTTGTTGCAAAACCAAAGATATCAATCACTTTTTCAAGAATTAAATCCAAGTTAACCAATAAAACCAAGTTTTCTTAGTATTCGATTGTTTGATATCAACAAACAGGCTCCAAATTGTCTTTTGTTTCTTTAAATTCTGTGTTCGAAATTCAAAAAAAGACTATTGAATGAAATTGTGAATGTGCCAGGTCCAAACCTGCATAAAAACTTTTTGCTCGACCTAATATAAAATTTTAGCTAGGACCAAACGAAACTGAAAATACAAGGTGGGCCAATAGATGTGTCCAGAAGTGTATAATAATTATAACCCCACGCCACGATTCCTCAAGTCTCAACTATACCCGTTTAATAACAGATTTATATTCAAATGAAATGTTTAAAGGCTTTCCATTTAACTGTTTCTTTATTTTATTATTCTTAATTAGGTATGAACCAGGTTATCATTATATTACCTGGTTTCATAAAAATAAATATATAGTATATGGTATGGGAGTATAAACTATCTTCACATAATTTTAGAAATTATCTACCTATAAATATAACATAAACACTAGTGATTAG